TAGGTGCAGCACTTTGCATTTCTCCTTGTTGAATTGCATTCTGTTGTTTTCTGCCCACTTGTCCAACCTGTCCAGGTCTGCTTGCAGCTGTTCCCTGCCCTCCGGCTTGTCCACTTCTCCCCACAGTTTTGTGTCATCTGCAAACTTGGACAGAGTATAGTTCACTCCCTTGTCCAAGTCGCTGATGAAGACATTGAAGAGTATCGGTCCAGTCATAAGAGCTGTCTTACCAGGTCTCTGTGATCCCAGTCAGATCATAGTTCATTTCACAGGCTGCAGCTTCTAGCTCATGTTGTTTACTCTCTATACTTTTCATACTTGTATACATGCATCGGACATGTTTTGCATTTTGTCCTATTCCACTTCCCTTTTGCATGCAGTCCTGTAGCTCTCTGGCCCTTTCCCAGTAAAGTTGCTTCTTTGAATCCTTCCCCTCTGGACTATGTGCTCTGTTGTTGGAGAGTTTTGATCACTGTCCCCTGTGGAACCTAGTTTAAAGCCTTAAGTTGGCCAAAGATGCATTTTCCCTTTCTCATCAGATGGATCCTTTTTCTTGAGAGCAGTCTTCCACCCAAGAAAATTCACCCATTGTGAAAGAAACTGAAGCCTTCACATTGACACCACTGTCTCACCCGTGTGTTCGCTTCCAGGATTTAATGGTCTCAGCCTGGACCCTTGCCTTCCATGGGAAGAATTGATTAGAACATCACTTGTGCTCCAAGCTCCTTCATCCTCCTGCCAAGAACCTGATAGTCACCTCTGATCTGCTCAGTGTCATTCCTGGCAGTATCATTGGTGCCTACATGGATAAGCAGACAGGAGTAGTAGTTGAAAGGATACATGAGCTTTGGCAATCTCTCTGTGATGTCCTCTTGGGCCCCCAAATCTGGACAACAAATTGGTGCCCCTGTCCTGCACAGAAGGGAGTCACCAACTACCACCACTCTTCTCTTCCTTCTTGGTGTAGTGGTTCTAGAGCCCATGTCCTTGGGGCTTTGCATTTCCTGCTCTCTAGGCTGCTGTCTTCTCAGCCTCATGCCTGCGGATGTCGTCTTCCCTGCCTTTTCCTCAAATTTCACCTTGGAGCGCTTGAAAGTGGTTGAAGAAGGGTGTTTGTATCTGAAAGCTTGCAAAGAGCAATTTTTTCAACTATTTACTTGGTCTAATAAAAGATATCACATTGTCCCAAAGAACCTTATCTGAAAGCAGTTGCTAACTTCAATCTACTCCTCTTCAATTCTGAGGGCCCTCCTTCTTCAGGTAGTTATGTTCACATCAACCAGTGCTCTGATGGAAATTTGGATTTAGCGCAATAGACACTTGTAGCATTTTGATATATTTTATTAAAGTTATTGCATTTTATTCAATGAAAAAGAATTAGTATTTAGGAAGTTCAGGAAATCTGTGCGACAGCAACTATAAAAATATACCTTCCTGGTACGAACAATATATTAGAAGGCTGCACTGAAATTTTTAGTTCCAGAGTATCAAGGTGCTTGCTGCACTTTCTTATATACTCTTTACTGTTTTTTTTATTCCATGTACCTTATACACAGAGAACAAAACACAAACCTGAGAGGCTCTATAGAGTAAGGATTCCATTAACTGACACCTGCTGGTGATGATGGAAAAAAATATATGGAGCTCATTAATTGAAAGCTGTTTGATCATTCCTCTCTAGCTGCAAGCAGTGTAAGAAAGCTTGGGCGGAAACTGTAGATAGCACAGGCTTACTTGAGGGACTCAGTTGTACAGCACCAACACAGCACAACACAGCCACTAGCAACTGAGAGAGGAAGACTAATGTTAGGCCAATATCCACGGCATCCTAGGGGCAGAAGTCTCACCTAATAAGTGTTGTTTTATCTTGCATTTATTCTGCATCCCTCTTTTCCTCCCTGATGATAAAGTTCTCTTTGTTTTAAATCTTTGGACTGCATTATTTGGATTCATGTGTACACTAGAGAGAGCATGATGGCCACAAAATTAAAAATGGCAAAATAAACAATAATCCTTGCAAAGTTATATATTCATCTTGTAAGAGTAATGGAGATATGTGGTGATGTAGCATATGTATGAGATTATAACTAATCTCCAGTACATATTCATTATGGTATGATTTTACTTACTTTCAGGGTGATTAACTATAAATTTTATTTGCTAGATTTTTCCCAAATTGAACTACGAATCCTTGCACACCTGTCCTGTGATCCAGAACTTCTGAAACTATTCCAAGAACCTGAAAGCAGTGATGTTTTTACTGTATTGACTTCTCAATGGTAAGACGAAACTTATACCATAAGCTATTACCTAAACTAACAAGATGATAGAAGTATCATTATTGCTGTATATAGATGTTAGAAAAGTGTATTTGGCTACAAAACTTATTTTTAAGTTGGTTACTTTTTCAAAATACTGGGAACTAACAGACCTGCCAAAAGGATTTCAGAATGGTGAACTATTAGAGTTCCTTAACCACCGGCCAGAACGGGGGGTTGGGGGGTGGGGTTTGTATATTCACCTTCTTCCCTTCCACAGTGGTAGTGTCAGTGGTAATGTCAGTATAGCTGACCAAGATAAGCCTGGTAGCTGAAGTAGTCATATAATTCATTACAAGTAATGCAATGTCCAAATTTTGACATCGTATTGTATTATTGCATAATTATTCACAAATGAATATTTAAAAGTACCAGTTTACCTGCTGACTTGATTAGCCTCATGAAGTGTTGTAAAAATGGTGTTCACTTTGGGATACCTTTTGATAATATTAGCTTCAGTTTCACCCTTTATAAGTACAAGCCTTTTGAAAACCTGTTTGAACATCTGGCATAGGCAAAGGAATCAAAATTATGTGCAGAGAGGTAAATGAGAGGACAGCTCAAGGGATTTTTGTGAGCTCATCTATTTTGGCACTGTCAGCCTCCTGATAGACCCTCTGATACCTTGGAGGAAGAATAGTGTTTCAACCTTTGAGTAAATGCTTCTCTGCCCATTCACAGGATTATTACCGCTTGTCAGTTTCCTGAGGCTAGAGGTTGGTAGATCAGTTCTCAAAGAAGAAAGAAATGATGCTGTACTAGAAACTTTGGTGGGGTTTGAGTATATTGTTTATTATTTCTTGTATTATGGTGGTACTTTGACACGCCAATCAAGGTTGGAAACCCATACTACTACACACTGAACAAACATATAGTAAGAGGCGGTCTGTAAATCAGGAATATGGAAAATATGGCTTACAGGTTGGATCTGGCCCACCAACAGATTCAGTCCAGCCTGCAGCCAGGCCACAACCAGTCCATTGGATCTAGCTCATGGGGAGCAGGTGGCTCTAACTCCGGCTGCCACATGCTGCCAGGTAGGTGTGCAGGGCTGTTTTTGCTCCACTGGGTCAGCAGGTATGACTGCTTCCACCCAGCAGCATCAATTCTTGATGTGGTGGCATCAGCTGTGGAACCCAGTCAGGGGCTTCTGCCATAGCAGGTGGGTGGTGGCATCAGCCATGGACACTGTTAGCAGGTTCAGGAGCCCCAGTGCAGAGCCTGATCCACAGCTGACACTGCCCTCCATGTACGGTGGAAACTCCTGCCCAGGGCCCTGACCCAGAACCTGCTGACAGTGTCATCTGTGGACCCAGGCCATAGCTTCTGCTGCACCAACTAGGCTTCAGTGTCAGCTGTGGACACTGCCAGCAGGTTCCATGTTGGGGCTCTGGAACCTGCCGGCTGTGCCCACAGCTGACACCACCACCCGCCTGCCACAGCGAAGTCCCCGTCTGGATCCACAGACATGTGTTGGGGCTCCTGGTGAACTATAGCTCCAGTTGGGTTCTGGAAGGAGGGAGTGCGGGAGTGGGACAGAGAGGCTGAAACACAGACAGAGAGAGAGATGGATGTGGCCCTCAACAGGTCACCAGAACTCATTAAGTGGCCCTCCAGCTGAAATAATTGTCCAGCCCTGTTGTAAACCTTTTGAGATTTGACTTAAATAGAAAAGACAGGCAATGGACTGGGGAGAGAAGATATACAAGGAAAAGAGAATGATGCTCTGTAAGCTTCCAGGTTTTTTTGTAGGTTAGTTTATCATGCATTTGTTCTTTCTTTTCAACTGTTTAGCTGGGATTTTGCTAGGACAGGATTAGCTGAAAAAGGGATACAAAGGTTATTATTAAAAGAGAAAGATAAGAAAAAAGGAGACCACCAACAGGAGATGGAGCAAGGATTAAATAAAGAGAATGAAGAGAAGATGGAAGAGAGTAAGTGGAAATAGCTAATCATCAGAATTTTCAGCCTGAAGGCTGGAGAACCAGTCAGGGGCCGATTTAATCATTATTGTACACAGGTCCTAGTTCCAGATGCTTAGTTTCTGCACTTTCTGAATTTCTGCAGACATTAACTTCTTGACTTTCTTTGACGTAGTTGAAAGAAATAGGGCACCGAGGTGTCTATACTCGTAGTTCAGGGGCGGAGGTGGGGAGGCAGGGGCGGATTTTTAATTAAAGCAGCTCTCAGACAGCTGCTTTAACTACATGCCTCAGTCACATGTATTCAGCATCCTGTGTTTCAAAATGGTGGTGGGGGTACTTTAGCTAAATTTTTGTTTGAGTCTCCTCTGATGCGTTCTAATTAGAATGCATCAGAGCATGTGTATAGGCACCCCAGTTTTGTTTGCCCACTTACCAACCTTTGAATCAAAGCAGAGTGCATTTGTAGCCTGATAGCTCAGGGAAGAAAGACCTGCTTCCCCAAGAATATAGTTCTTAAAGCATTATCTAAAGATAAGCATTATCTAAAGATAAGCAGTCTTTCTTTTTTTAAATTCAGTTGTGGATTGATATAAATGGCTCTTAGTAGGGTTGCACTCATATATCAGTCCCATATCGTATCGTCACCAATAAAAGGAAAATTGACATTATTGGCATTTTTGGCTTTCCTTGGCTGATGTGGCTGATAATGTCACTGATAAATGCTGTGCGCAGGAGTTCAGCCTGGTAGCATGGAGAGCAGTGTCCAGCTGGTAAGTCTGTTGTGGGGAGGGAGTGTGGTGGGAAGGAAGAGGTATGGGGGTGCAGATCAAGGCCCTCACAGTAAGGGAGGGAGTGGGGCTGGGGCAGGCACTGCACAGCTGGGGTGAGACATAGGGTGGAGCCACAGCTCGTCTGGGGGCTCCATCCTTGCTGCATGCACCCTGGAAGGGGTGCGCAGGGTGAGGGCAGGCTGCCCCTTGGATCTATTCATGGGGCAAGGGCAGATTGCCACTGTTGGCTGGGGCCAGGAGCAGTGCTGGGCTCTTCGCGGCAGTGGGGATCTGGGACAGGTTGCACTCGGGGTGGGCAGTGGTACTGGGGTGGGAGGCCTATGGAGGAGGCTGTGGCCACCTCAAAAATTCACCGAAGCCTCCCCAAACCTCCCCCTTCCAGCGCCGCCACCACCCATGCCAAGCGCAGCCCCCCAGACCCCACACCAGGAAGAGCCTGGCACCGTCCCTGGCTCCAGCCTACAGTGGCAGCCTGCCCTTGCCCTTCACACAGATCTGGGGAGCACATGCCTCATATGCCCTCCTGGGGTGCATGCAGCGGTAGAAGCCACCCCATGCCCTGCCCTGGCTGGGCATCGCCTGCCCCCGCCCCTACCCCATCTCCACTCCCTCCCTCACTGCGGAGACCTTGATCTGCCCCTCCCATGCACCTTCCGTTGTCCCTTCCCCCACCAACAGACTTATCAGTTGGACGTCGCTCTTCATGCTGCCAGGCTGCGTATCGGCAATTGGATTAGTATCGGCTAATATGGCTCATTAAAAATTGGCCATTGGTATCAACCCAAAAATCTTGGTGCACCCCTAGTTCTTAGTTTGACGTGTTATCACTTGTTCTTGATGGAATTAAATCCTATTTTCAGTTTGGAGGTATATTGTAATGTATGTATGAATAGAAATCAAGTTTTCTGTCAACTCCAGGCAGGGCTCCAGACATGTTATTCTACTCAGTAACATCACAGCTCTTGGCAGCTGCCAACCTCTTACAGTTGCTGTGCAGTACCTTTTGATCTTAATGAAATATTGCAGTCAAATATTTTTATTAAATTGAATTGTCATGTCTGCAAAACTATTACATAATAATTCTGTCGAGTTGCTGACTCCTTTTGTAGGCTACAAAGGACCAACTCACAAGATTGTTATAAATTCTAGTTTATTAGACGGGGTGTGAAGCTTTAATAAAATTATAAATGTAAATTCTGGGGTGTTATGATGGGTACTGGTCACCTAAACACATATACACACATGCACTCACTCATTCAGACCCATGTAGTATAGTGTATAGTAGCAGCTGTAGTGATTGTGGGAGCACTGGTGTTAATATATCTACCTATCCGAGGCCCTGCGGATCTGCTGTCGATGGTCAGCTTCCTCCAGGGTGGTATCTTCTCCAGAAAGGGGTCGTCTGCTTGTCTTTCTGTGTTGGTAGGTCGGGTACTGGATTAGGGGGTGCCCCGAGGGTCATGCTTCACTGCCTTTTATCCCTTTCTGGTAGACTTGTGTGATCCCCCAGCATCATCTTGGCTGCCCAATCTGGAGGTTGCTTTTCCACGTGGGTCTTGAGTAGTGCATGACAGCTGTTAGTCACAGTCACTGAGGGTCTTGCCCCCATGGTGCAGTTTTGGGAGTCTACCCTTGACTTGATTGACTCAATGGCTGTGTCTTGCAGGTTCCAGGAATCAGTTCTTTGGCTTGATTAGCTTAAAATGGCTTGTAGAATAGAGTTATGTAATGGTAAGTTTCTCTGGCTACGCTATCGTCAATTCACAGCCAGAGGCTCTTGCTTTGTCCTACTGACTCATACACGTTCACTCAAGGGACCAGCCCAATATACCAGATTTCATCACTTTACAATTACAATTTCAATGCAGTTTTTAACAGTGGTCCAGGGTGTAACTGCATTCTACAGGGAGTACATTCCTTAAGGGTTTAAAAATATAAAATATAAAATACAAAACACCATGGTAAAGAGGAGGCAGATGAAATATAAAAATGCACTGTGAGAAATATATAAAAATGCAGTGTGAGGTAGTGAGCATTAAAGGCTATTGGGGACAGTAAGCAAGTTAAGTTAGCACCAGGATTTATTTACAGTCTTTGAAGTAGATATTTTAGTTCTTTTGTTTTCTTCAGTGACACTGAGCTCCATTGATATGTAGATATAGTTTCTAGGTTTCTCCTACAGAAAGCCACTACAGCTTTCTGGCTTGCTCTGAGCCTTGCCACACCCATGCAATGTGTGCTAGGTCTCTGCCAATACTCGGAAGGAAAAGAAATGCACAAAATTGGGGGGTGAGGGGGGCTGCCAAGAAGAGGCTTCTTGTTGCACTTCAAACTTCAAGAGAGCTTCTTACTTAGAAATCACTTTTTACAGTGCATATTATTAGGACACTTATTTAATTACAGAAACACCCAATGACTTTAACTTCTGTTAAAACCTTGTAGTAATGGATTCAAAATGAGCATGCAGTCTTTCTGTATTTTTTTCTATTCATGGCTAAGGTGCCCTATATTAAAACAAATGTTTTAAAAATATTTTGTTATTCCTTATGCTTATTTACATCTCCTAGTTAGAATCCCAAATTGGATATATGATTGGCTGCTTTGGAAATGATTACAATATTGCAAAGAGAATTATGGTTTCAAACGGCATGTAAGCTCTATGGAGCAAACTAGCACTTAGGGACATGTTCAAAATTAATTACCTAAATTCCGCGTAAGAAAAAAAATGTGAATTAGTCCATGCAACCTGAATAACTGAATACTTAAATAGCTCCCTCGTCAAATATCTAATTTGCATGCACAGATTTCATGTGTGTAATAGTTCAATGTCAATGCAGAGCAGATAAGACATAGCAGACCAAAACTATAATGATCATAACAAAAATGCTTCAAGGAAAATATTGTGTATGCTTTTTAAGCATAGCCAATACAAACAGTGGGAAAAACAAAAACATCTAGTTCTTAAAATATTTGTCCAATTAAAAGATAGCAAAGGTTAGAAGATGCAAAGTTTATTTATTGCCTATTAAATGCAATGATTGCACAAATCACATTGGTTTTTAAAATAAATAAAAGTAAATAAATGTTTTGGTACTTGTAGAAGGAAATTGTGCAGCTTGCATGAAATAAAATAATTATCCTTTGGTTCTAAAATAACAGTTAAGTGACATAACACAGTGCTGATATAAGAAAGCAGCATGGCCTACTGGAGCTCTCTGTGCTAAGGCCAAGAGTGATACTGCTGCAGTCCTTGCCCTCGCTGATTCTTTTTGGCTCTGGAAATTGGTTCAATAGATGTTGTTAGTTTCCTCCTCTGCACAACAGGGCTGGTACTGTTAATTCACTGATAATTTCTCCATGCGATCCCCACAGGGGTGTTTCCAGTCCAGGGTACACAAGCTGGATTCGTTTAACTAACAGTGTTAGCTGGAGGCTGTGCATGACTCTTGCTTTCACTCCTCACTTCCCAAGGGCATCACTGTTGGAACCAACTGCGTAAAGGGCAGAACAACCCATGCAATGTTCACTTCCTTGTCACCACTCTTGGTAGTGAGTCAGAGTAAAATGTTACCTTTCTGCTGCTTCACTGCATTGGTGAGATATATATGTATAAAACAGATGAAGTCTTCACCTGTGTCTGACCTTCATTGTGGACGGCTCTAAATATAAATATATATATATATATGTTTGAGATCCTGTGGGGGAGTGTAGCAAGACTGGCCCTGAGGAAAGCCATCACACACCCTGGTGGCCAAACTACTGCTGTCCCACTCTGGCTCCCCTGGGTACCTTCCCTCTTCTGCCTCATCTGCCATGCCTTGATGACTATTATAATCTTTAGGGAGGTTGCCCCAGGGTCCTAGAGTGAGCCTCAATTCACCTCAGCTTGCTAGTGCTAATCAGGTCTAACTGGCACCAGTCTTGCCCCTGGGGCATTAAATCATGGCCCTATCTGTGCCTTAGGGGGTAATAATCACGGCCTCCAGCTGCTCCCAAAGCCATGCCCATTGTTCACAGGTGTCACTGCAACTTCTTTCATGGGACCTCCTTGGCTTTCTTGCATGCTCCAGGCCCCTGGCTTTGTCTCTCTCATAGTTTCAGCCCTTAGGGGTCCTAACCCCCAGACATAGCTGCTGTCTTTCTCTGTTCCAGCCCCCTGAGTCCCTGAACTTGGTCAGGCTGTTGTCTCCCTGTTTCAGCCCCTGGGTTCCTGACCCT